ATCAAAATGAAGGTTGAAATGGAACGATAATATTTAAACAACATACAAGATTTGAAAATAATCAATGATATGGTGGCAAATAGCCAAATATGGGGTGAAAGACAACATCACTCCTGATCTGCTCTTCTATCTTGTAACCTAGGGAAAGGTTACTGAATAAGAATAATCAAAATGAAGGTTGGAAATGGAACGATAATATTTATAACAGGAACAACATACAAGATTTGCCAGTGGTGTGTAGTAAATAATCAAAATAGTGGTGAGCTAGAAGTGAATCAAGGTGAATCCCAAGTGGAAGACAACATCGATGATATGATTGGCAAAATAGCCAAATATGGGGTGCACATCACTCCTGATCTGCTCTTGTAACCTAGGGAAAGGTTACTGAATAAGAATAATCAAAATGAAGGTTGGAAATGGAATGATAATATTTATAACAGGAACAACATACAAGATTTGCCAGTGGTGTGTAGTAAATAATCAACTGCTAGTGGTAAGCTAGAAGTGAATCAAGGTGAATCCCAAGTAGAAGACAACATCGATGATATGATTGGCAAAATAATAGCCAAATATGGGGTGCACATCACTCTGATCTGCTCTTATCTTGTAACCCTGATCAAAATGAAGGTTGGAAATGGAACGATAATATTAACAGGAACAAAATACAAGATTTGCCAGTGGTGTATAGTAAATAATCAACTGCTTGTGGTGAGGAAGTCAAGGTGAAAATCCCAAGACAACATCGAATATGATTGGCAAAATAGCCAAAATGATCTGGTTGGGAAATTACTGAATGATAATATTTAAAATGGAACGATAATATTTATAACAGGAACAACATACAAGATTTGCCAGTGGTGTGTAGTAAATAATCAACTGCTAGTGTTGAGCTAGAAGTGAATCAAGGTGAATCCCACCATTGATGACATGATTGGCAAAATAGCCAAATATAGGGTGGATCTGCTCTTATCTTGTAACCTAGGGAAAGGTTACTGAATAAGAATAATCAAAATGAAGGTTGGAAATGGAATGATAATATTTATAACAGGAACAACATACAAGATTTGCCAGTGGTGTGTAGTAAATAATCAACTGCTAGTGGTGAGCTAGAAGTGAATCAAGGTGAATCCCAAGTGGAAGACAACATCGATGATATGATTGGCAAAATAGCCAAATATGGGGTGCATCACTCCTGATCTGTTCTTATCTTGTAACCTAGGAAAGGTTACTGAATAAGAATAATCAAAAATGAAGGTTGGAAATGGAACGATAATATTTATAACAGGAACAACATACAAGATTTGCCAGTGGTGTGTAGTAAATAATCAACTGCTAGTGGTGAGCTAATCCCAAATAGAAGTGAATCAAAATAGGTGAATCCCAAGTGGAAGACAACATCGATGATATGATTGGCAAAATAGCCAAATATGGGGTGCACATCATCACTCCTGGATCTGCTTTTATCTTGTAACCTAGGGAAAACTGAATAAGAATAATCAAAATGAAGGTTGAAATGGAACGATAATATTTATAACAGGAACAACATACAAGATTTGCCAGTGGTGTGTAGTAAATAATCAACTGCTAGTGGTGAGCTAGAAGTGAATCAAGGAATCCCAAGTGGAAAGACAACATCGATGATATGATTGGCAAAATAGCCAAATATGTCACTCCTGAACCTAGGAAAGGTTACTGAATAAGAATAATCAAAATGAAGGTTGAAATGGAACGATAATATTTATAACAGGAACAACATACAAGATTTGCCAGTGGTGTGTAGTAAATAATCAACTGCTAGTGGTGAGCTAGAAGTGAATCAAGGTGAATCCCCAAGTGAAGACAACAAAATAGCCAAATCGATGATATGATTGGTAGCAAATATGGGTTGCAATCACTCCTGATCTGCTCTTATCTTGTAACCTAGGGAAAGGTTACTGAATAAGAATAACCAAAATGAAGGTTGGAAATGGAACGATAATATTTATAACAGGAACAACATACAAGATTTGCCAGTGGTGTAGTAAAATAATCAACTGCTAGTGGTAAAGAAGTGAATCAAGGTGAATCCCAAGTGGACAACATCGATGATATGATTGGCAAAATAGCCAAAAATAATCTCCTGATCTGCTCTTATCTTGTAACCTAGGGAAAGGTTACTGAATAAGAATAACCAAAATGAAGGTTGGAAATGGAATGATAATATTTATAACAGGAACAACATACAAGATTTGCCAGTGGTGTGTAGTAAATAATCAACTGCTAGTGGTAAGCTAGAAGTGAATCAAGATGAATCCCAAGTGAAGACAACATCGATGATATGATTGGCAAAATAGCCAAATATGGGGTGCACATCACTCCTGATCTGCTCTTATCTTGTAACCTAGGGAAAGGTTACTGAATAAGAATAATCAAAATGAAGGTTGGAAATGGAACGATAATATTTATAACAGGAACAACATACAAGATTTGCCAGTGGTGTGTAGTAAATAATCAACTGCTAGTGGTGCCTAGAAGTGAATCAAAATTGAATCCCAAGTAGAAGACAACATCGATGATATGATTGGCAAAATAGCCAAATATGGGGTGCACATCACTCCTGATCTGCTCTTATCTTGTAACCTAGGGAAAGGTTACTGAATAAGAATAATCAAAATGAAGGTTGGAAATGGAACGATAATATTTATAACAGGAACAACATACAAGATTTGCCAGTGGTGTGTAGTAAATAATCAACTGCTAATGGTAAGCTAGAAGTGAATCAAGGTGAATCCCAAGTAGAAGACAACATCGATGATATGATTGGCAAAATAGCCAAATATGGGGTGCACATCACTCCTGATCTGCTCTTATCTTGTAACCTAGGGAAAGGTTACTGAATAAGAATAATCAAAATGAAGGTTGGAAATGGAATGATAATATTTATAACAGGAACAACATACAAGATTTGCCAGTGGTGTGTAGTAAATAATCAACTGCTAATGGTAAGCTAAAGTGAATCAAGGTGAATCCCAAGTAGAAGACAACATCGATGATATGATTGGCAAAATAGCCAAATATGGGGTGCACATCACTCCTGATCTGCTCTTATCTTGTAACCTAGGGAAAGGTTACTGAATAAGAATAATCAAAATGAAGGTTGGAAATGGAACGATAATATTTATAACAGGAACAACATACAAGATTTGCCAGTGGTGTGTAGTAAATAATCAACTGCTAGTGGTAAGCTAGAAGTGAATCAAGGTGAATCCCAAGTGGAAGACAACATCGATGATATGATTGGCAAAATAGCCAAATATGGGGTGCACATCACTCCTGATCTGCTCTTATCTTGTAACCTAGGGAAAGGTTACTGAATAAGAATAATCTAAATGAAGGTTGGAAATGGAATGATAATATTTATAACAGGAACAACATACAAGATTTGCCAGTGGTGTGTAGTAAATAATCAACTGCTAGTGGTAGCTAGAAGTGAATCAAGGTGAATCCCAAGTGGAAGACAACATCGATGATATGATTGGCAAAATAGCCAAATATGGGTGTGCACATCACTCCTGATCTGTTTCTTATCTTGTAACCTCTGAATAAGAATAATCAAAATGAAGGTTGGAAATGGAATGATAATATTTATAACAGGAACAACATACAAGATTTGCCAGTGGTGTGTAGTAAATAATCAACTGCTAGTGGTGAGCTAGAAGTGAATCAAGGTGAATCCCATGTAGAAGACAACATCGATGATATGATTGGCAAAATAGACAAATATGGGGTGCACATCACTCCTGATCTGCTCTTATCTTGTAACCTAGGGAAAGGTTACTGAATAAGAATAACCAAAATGAAGGTTGGAAATGGAATGATAATATTTATAACAGGAACAACATACAAGATTTGCCAGTGGTGTGTAATAAATAATCAACTGCTAGTGGTAAGCTAGAAGTGAATCAAGGTGAATCCCAAGTAGAAGACAACATCGATGATATGATTGGCAAAATAGCCAAATATGGGGTGCACATCACTCCTGATCTGCTCTTATCTTGTAACCTAGGGAAAGGTTACTGAATAAGAATAATCAAAATGAAGGTTGGAAATGGAATGATAATATTTATAACAGGAACAACATACAAGATTTGCCAGTGGTGTGTAGTAAATAATCAACTGCTAGTGGTAAGCTAGAAGTGAATCAAGGTGAATCCCAAGTAGAAGACAACATCGATGATATGATTGGCAAAATAGACAAATATGGGGTGCACATCACTCCTGATCTGCTCTTATCTTGTAACCTAGGGAAAGGTTACTGAATAAGAATAATCAAAATGAAGGTTGGAAATGGAATGATAATATTTATAACAGGAACAACATACAAGATTTGCCAGTGGTGTGTAGTAAATAATCAACTGCTAGTGGTAAGCTAGAAGTGAATCAAGGTGAATCCCAAGTAGAAGACAACATCGATGATATGATTGGCAAAATAGACAAATATGGGGTGCACATCACTCCTGATCTGTTCTTATCTTGTAACCTAGGGAAAGGTTACTGAATAAGAATAATCAAAATGAAGGTTGGAAATGGAACGATAATATTTATAACAGGAACAACATACAAGATTTGCCAGTGGTGTGTAGTAAATAATCAACTGCTAGTGGTGAGCTAGTAGTGAATTGCAAGTGGATCCCAGTGGATCCAAATGACGATATTCACTAACTGCCCCGCGCAGTCGGATATGGCATTGTGTGGGTATCCAAGCCCGTAGGCTCGGCCACAAATTCTCCATAGATCCCGTAAAAAACAGTGTAGTGTAGCTATTTTCCCAGACGAAACTCTGCCCTTTGACATAGCCTCCTCTGGGGATCCTTTCTACTCGGAGGCAGAGAATTTGACCAGTACACTTGGAAGTGAATCCAAATGCCTGTATTCTACTGTATTTATACGGATTGAGACATACCCATTATAGTCCATAGGTACGGTATAACAGACAGTATATAACTAACTGGCTTACGGCTGTATCCCGTTGAAACACCAGTCCACCGAAGTTAAGCAACATCGAGCCTAGTCAGTACCTAGATGGGTGACTACCTGGGAATACCAGTTGCTGTAAGCTTGGATGCACTGATGGTAGAATGGAGTGAGAAACCGAAGAGCAGAACTCGAATTCCAGTCAAGTGTTTAACATTCACTTACTTTTCATTTGGAAAAGGTATGAATCCATCGCCTTTCCCCCAGCTATGGATTAAATAATAAGACAGATGGGGCCCTAATGCGTTGGTTGGCAACCAGTCAGTAATAGCAGCCTACCGCGGGAATTTTTCTGCCAAGTCAATCATAAATCGAAAAGAGAGAGGATCGTGTATAAAAATTAAAGGAGGAAAGATAATTTAATTATTCATATCCGATTTAGTTATTCATATCCGAATTCTGACGAAATTCGGTGTCAATTTCCGATTATTATTGTGTAAAAGTATTGTGCAGTGATAAAAAAGATAATTTTCTTCCTTTCGTTGAGATAACGTCAAGAGGATCATGCGACCACCGGTGTGTGTGTTCAGTAGACAATAACTAAGGACGGCTGCGATCTAAAACCAAGAGAAGAAAGACGTCCTTAGCCCATAACGGTAGGTCTTACAGGAAAAACCACTTGGCCTCAACAGGTTAATAAGAAAACAGCTATAATCCCAGTTTTACTTTTGGGAAATATTACAAGGCTCTCTTTCTTTTTTTTTTTTTGCACACTGCTTGCTGTTGTAGACATGTGGTATAGTTTCTCTGTGTGTGATACGGATAAATATGCATATATAATTTTGTATACGACTCAGCATCATAAAACTCACATGGAGAACAAAGCATTTTTGTCATCTTGTCCCTTTCAGTCATTCTGTTAGGTCCATGAATTAAAGGGTTAATATTTCACGGGTATAATAATGTCCATAATTCGGGAAACACAAATGGGAGAATAACTCTTTCTTCCATAGTTCGGACAATATTATTATTACTTCCGATTTAATAATTATTACTCTAGATTTATTTTAATCATTTTTCCCTAAAGGAAAAGAATAAAGCCACTAAGACAAAAAGGGTTACGGAGTGTGAGAAAATATGAGAAAAATAAAACATTATCAAGGAACAATAAAAAGAACAGGAATTAAGAAAACAGAAGATTACGATTCACACGGCATTTAAATTTTTGAAGAGTTAACTGAAAAGCAAAAAGCTGGAAGAGAGTTCTACAAACGAGAAGAAACTTAGCATAAAACTTACATTCAACCATTTCAACTGCAAAATAATTTTCTTATATACTGTCACAATGAGTTCTACACTTATCACGACATTAATCTGGATACTCCATTAATGTAAGAATTATACGAACTAAGCGACTAGTTTAAATAACTGACAACATAATCTTCTGTTTGAACAGGAAATGATAAATGGAAATAAAGTTGAATGTTTTTTTTAAGTAAAAGTACAACAAGAGTAGAAAATAGCCATAGATTTTAATGAATTTAACCCTCACTGTGTGACTGATTTAGAATGTGCAGTTAAGTGTAATTAATAGCTGGCAACACAAAACGAGAAATCATTAAGCCGAGGTTGAATTCCGGTTGTGTTTGTTACATTTTCTTTTGAACAAATACCTTTGAGAAAAGTACGAATCCATCTCTTTTTCCCTTGCTATGGGTTAAAAAAAAACAGAGCAGATTTAGCTACTAAGACGTGGTTGAGAACTAGTGTAACGGAAGGACAACTCTAAATTCAAATCTCTATATAGCACGGAGACACGGTAGAGTAATGGCTAGCGGCTGGGATTGAGGAATCGGAGAGCCGAGTTCGAATTGTGCTGATCCTGATCCTTAGGATAAGTATGAATCCTCTTCTTCTTCCCCGCCAGCTATGGGTAATTGGATGACAAATGGTCTACCGCAGAAAAAATGGCAACCTACTGCGTGAAAAAAAAATCTGCCTCGTCAGTCATGTATCGAAAGATACATGATCACCTAAGCATGTATCTGACTGACTAGCCCTGACAAGGCAAATAATATACAGCGATGGAGTTCAAAGTGTGGGTTGTGATCTAGACATTACTGGATGATCTATGATACATATTCTTGACCTTGTATTAAGTAAATATTACTATCGAATAATTTATTCTCAGAAATTCAGTTTGCCTATTAATCATCTGGGAGACTTCGTTCTGCTTCCCATCTGCAGAGTGAATCGTTGCATCTTCTCCGGCTAACATTCTCGGCTGACATAAAGTTAAAAGATTATATTGAATCCATTGCTAGATCAACTACTTCTCTCTAGATTCTATCTTAGATATCTATAAGTCTACCATTCATCCATGCTAAGAATATTGCTGCCAAATAATGGTCCTGCTCTCTTGCTATATATTTAGAGATCCTTGATAAAACTCAAAGAAGAACCAGCAATTTTATTGGTCCTAACCTGGCATCTCGGCTCCACTTACTTTCCCACCGTTGTAAAGTTGCTTCCCTGTGCCTTTTCTACGAATACTAATTGTTCGGGTGATCTCTTCGCTATGGTACCGAGACTTTAAGCGCCGTACTTGACTGGCGATGAGGTCTCATCGATTTACAGTTGAGTTGGCGAGATGTAAACGTAAGTTCTATGCTATGCTAGTTTCTTTTCACGCACATATCGTTTGCGGAACACACTTTCTTCTACATGTTTTCCAACCAAATTTGACCTTCAAAAATTTAATACAATGTCAATCGCTATCTAGTGTTTTCCTGATTAAACTTCTATTGTTTTCGCTCCGTAGCAATGTTTCTGTTTTTTTTTTTTGTTCTTCTACACCCAGTAATTACTTGTGTCTTAGGGGATTTACTACCTTACTTGGGGAGAACTCGATTTAAATAATATATGTATTTATATCATTTTACAAACATACACATACATGCATAAATATACATTCACACACAAGCACACACACAAAATTGTCGCCATATTATATTTTAATTTCGCGCATGCGCGTGGTTTTTTTCGTTTTTGTTTTTGACTTTGTCGACTGCACAGTATAGTAAAGTCAGTTGGGGACCGTCTGTGGGAAACGAGAACCATGATGCAATTCACTCCGCCATAAGTTTTGGAAACGGCATGCTGTACTGGTTGGCATTCGCGCCTGAAGCTCTAATACCACTATTTCAGAGAGTTTCGGTGTCAATCTGAGGACAGAACAGAGGATTCGGAAAGAGTTGGATGAGTCTCATGGTGATTACGAAAGTGATTGGAGTGATCACTAGTAATAGCGACGTTATACCTTCATTCCCACAGAAGGTGGCTGCAATGCCTGGTAACCGGATTCTGCACCATGCTACAGAAGCAGGACCCAGTCATGGCTATCAGACAATTTCTGCATTCACATCACACCTTTACATTTGGCCACCTAACTCCCCAGACTGCAACCCCCTCGATTATTATGCGTGTGGGGCTCAGTTGAGTGAGAGACCAACAAAACTCCTTGTAACACCAAAGATGAACTAAAGGCAAGGATTATGGCAACAACCACCAACTTAAACAAGGAGACCGCCCAGAAGAGTTGCAGGAGATTCCGAAGTCATCTGCAGCTCGTGGTTGAAGCGAATGGCAATTTAATTGAATAAATTTACTCGTTAGTATTTTAAGATATTTTTGTGTAATTTTAGTAAATATATCTTTTTGGTAAATATATCTTTTTGGTAAATATATGAGATGCCATGTTTGCGTAATTTAGACTATAATTTAGCCATCGCACCCTGCATATATATATATATATATATATATATATATATATATAGTCAAACCTAGAGAGCCAGGCAAACCTACTAAGGTTTCACCTAAGCGGGTCGTCTGGAAAAAAAAACTTTTAAAACCTTTTTTCTTTCGATATTGATTTGATCATTAGCAAATGAAGGTTTTCTGAGACGAGTGTAGTTACCTATATATATATATGTGTGTTTGTGTGTGTATATGTATGTATCTATGTATACAGTCTCCTTTAAAAGTATTGGAACGGCAAGGTCATTTCCTTTGTTTTTGTTATAAACTGAAGACATTTGGGTTTAAGATCAAAAGATGAATATGAGACAAGAGTTCAGAATTTCAGTTTTTATTTCCTGTTATTTCATTAGATGTGTTAAACAGCTTAAGCCATGCCACCTTTTCTATTAGATCACTCCATTTTTAGGTGAGCAAAAATAAAGGAACAAATAATCTAATTTCATATTTGGTTGGATAACCCTTGCTTTCAAAAACTTTGACGCATTGACATCACCAAACTCTTTTATTCTTTATTTGTGATGCTTTTCCAGACTCATAACGCAGCCTCTTTCAGTTTTTATTTGTTTCGAGGAGTTTCTTTCTTTAGTCTCCTCTTCAGGAGATGAAATGCATACTCTATTAGGGTTACGCTCCAGTGATTGATTTGGTCAATTTAAAACTGTCCACTCGTTTCCCCTGATGAAGTCATTTGTTGTGTTGGCAGTATGTTTTGGGTCATTCTCCTGTTGCATGTTAAACTTCCACCTGCTTAGTTTGGATGCATTTCTCTTTAAATTGGCAGAGAAAACGTTTCTGTAGACGTTTGAATTCATTCTGCTGCTATTTTATTTTCAACAAAACAAGTTCAGTTGACCATTGATGACAATTCCAGAACAACGTAACTATAAACAATTTTTTCTATCCTCTGCCAGCCGCAATGATGGAGAAAGAATTACCGCGAACCATCGCCAGTGAGACACGCTGCAAGAGCCACTCCGTTTCGTGAGGCTCGTCCCTTAATCGAGACGCAATCGCGCCAATCCTCCGAAGGAACACCATCGAACGAGGGCCAATAACCCCTGAAGTCTCCACTACCACAGGAGTAAAAAAAAATCTATCAGCAAGAGAAGAATATTTAACTATTTTTTTTTCATCTCTGCGTCCCGGGCGACGGACCCCGGCTCAACTGCGGACCTGATCAAATTACCGGCCGAAAATGTATCCACACAGGTCGCATCCCAAATCAACGACTTCCCCATTTTAAAAGGGAAACTGGTAATGCCATCCGGCCGCTTTACATCACCGCGGTCGAGGCCTACGGGTTCGATTTGGGAAGGGAACCCAGCTGCACCCAAACCTCTTTTGATGATGTTGTTAATGACTGCATCATGAGTTACGTCATCAATGACGTCATCAATGAATGAGCTTGTTCCAGAAGAAACCATGCAAACTTATGCCAAGACACTACCTCTACCATAATCATCACAGATGAGCTTGTATGCTTTGAATAATAAGCAGAACCTTTCTTTCTCCACACTGGCCTTTTCATCAATTTGGTAGAAATTAATCTTGGTTTCATCAGTCCATAAAATTTTCTTCCAGAACTTTTCTTGCTCCTCTCTATACTTCCTTGCAAATTCCAATGTGACCTTTCGATTCATACTGCTGATGAGTGGTTTTCATCTTGTGGTATGGTCTTTAGATTTCTTCCCTCGAAGTCTTCTTCAAATGGTGAATTGTGAAACCTTCAGCCCTGTACTGTGGTAATGTCACTGACGATTGTTTTATAGGGGTTTTATCCCCACACATCTCACAATGTTTTTGCCATCAACTGCTGTTGTTTTCTTTGACCGACCTGTTCTATGCTTCTTGCTCAGTACACCAGTAATTTCTCTCTTTTTCAGGACATTCCAAATTGTTGTGTTCGCTATGGCCAAAGTTTTTCCAATGGCTCTGATCGATTTTCCTTCTTTTATCAGCTCCGGAATGGCTTGCGTTTTTCTCATAGGCAACTTTTTCGTTTTCATGTTGATTTATCCTTTTTAACAAGAAATGCAGTATTCACAGGTGAAACCCAGGGCTAAAACCAAGGGTAGACATTCAGAGTTATGTAATATTTAAACAATCACTCTAAAAGGCAACACTTGGACAACAAGAAATACCTGTCAGTCACGTGTTCCACTAGTTTTGCTCACTTGAAAAATGAGTGGGATCACACAAAAGGTGGTATGTCCTAAGTTGTTTAACACATCTAAATGCAAATAACAGGAAATAAAAGCTGAAATACTGAATTCTTGTCACATATTCATCTTTTGATATTAAAACCAAATGTCTTCAGTGAACAACAAAACCAAAGGAATTTGCCCTGTCGTTCAAATACTTCTGTTTACCTCGGAGTTCTTGACAAGATCCAGAGGCGGATATGTAATATAACTGGCCCTGATCTGGCATCTCGTCTACAGTCGCTCTCTCACTGACGCGCCGTTGCCTCTCTCTGTTTTTTTTACAAATACTTTCATGGTAATTGCTCCGATGAGCTGCTTTCACTGGTTCCCAGACTCCATGAATTCAAGCGCCCTACGAGGCTGGCATTCTGCTCCCACCCTTACACTGTAGAAACTTTTAAATGTAGCCGTCTCTTCTACACAAATAGCTTCATACCTCACACCTCTCGCCTGTGGAACACCTTTCCCAATTCCTGTTTCCCTGAGAGCTATAATCTCCAACTATTCAAATGTAGTCAATCGACCTCTCCAGTTGCCTTGATCTATCGACTGTCCTTCTCCTCATCCTTTCTTCTATCACTCCTATCTGCTCTTGCTCCGAATCTTCTGCAACCCCCTGCATCCTAGTGGCTTTCCGCCTTGCTCGAGGCGTAATGCTTAAAATATATATATATATATATATATATATATACTCTTTTTCCATTCCATTCTGCCTTGTGTCAAACTACGTAAAATATAGAAAGCTTTGTCACGTGCGCATTTCAGTAAATATCTGTTGTGTAGATTATCTTGGTTTGTTTTCAGTGTAAACACACACGTGTACATATACACGTCCTGTCACGCACATATACGCACAAATACACGCACATGCACGCAAAAGCACACACACATAATTGCATTAAATATATCTCTAAATCGCATTTTATCTATGCAATATTATTACAGACACGCACGAACGCACATGCACTCGTGCACACAGATACGCATATGTATAATAGATTTGCATATGTATCTATAATAATATTTTTTTAAGCCGAGCTATACTCTGACGTATCTTTTTTGTAAGTGTCTGTCTGAATGAAAATGTCCTCTGTCCATTCGATTATTTCTGTCTACGCTTTACTGTGTTTTATTTGTTTTGTGTTTTTGAGTCAAAAAAAAAAGATAAGGAAATAAAAACGTGGTAACGGGCGGAAATAAGGAGAGGCGTCAGCAGTTTGAAGGAGAAAAGAAAGAAAGAAAGAAAGAAGTTAAACAAGAGGGAATGAAAAAGATGAAGAAAGAAATAAGTCGGAAGAAATAGGTAAAGGCAAAGACAGAATTTACCAGAAGAACAAAACGGATATGAAAACGAAAGAAAAGAAAGGAAAGAAAAAAAGGAAGAAAACAGAAATAAAAGAGAAAATAAAGAAAAGAAAAAGAAAGAAAAGAAAAAGAAAGAATAGAAAGAGAAAGAAATAAAGAAAATAGAAAGAAAGAAAAGAAATAGGGTTATGAAAACGAAAGAAAAGAAAGGAAAGAAAAGAAAGAAAGAAAACAGAAATAAAAGAGAAAAGAAAGAAAAGAAAAGAAAGAAAAGAAAAAGAAAGAAAAGGAAAAAGAAGGAAATAAAGAAAAGAAAAAGAAAAGGAAAGAAAAGAGAAAGAAAGAAAAGAAAGGCAAGAAAAAAATAAAGGAAGAAAAGAGAAAAGAAAAAGAAAGAAAAGAAGAATAGAAAGAGAAAGAAATAAAGAAAAAAGGAAGAAAGAAAGAAAAAGAAAGAAAAGGAAAAAAAGAAATAAAATAAATATGAAGGGAGAAATATAGAAAGATAAAAAATGAACGCAAGGAAGAAATATAAATAAGTAAGAAATAATAAGAAAAAAGATACAGACAAGAAAAAACAAAAAGAAAAGAAAGAAAAAAAGATAAAGAAAAGGAAATAAACAAAAAACAAAAGAAAGAAACAAAAGAAAAAGTGATGAATATATAAGAAGAAAGAAGAGAATATAGATAAAGAAAAGAAAATGAAAAAGAACAATAATATATACAAAAAAAGAAGAAAAGAAAAAAGAAAGATAAAGGGGAAAATTGATAGAGAGATGAAGGAAAAAAAAGAAAGAAAAAAGAAAGAAAAAGTAAGACAAAAGAAGGAAAAAAATCGACAGACAATGACAGAAGAAAATAGGAACTAAAATAAAAGAAAATGAAGAGAAAAACGAAAGCTTAAAAATAAAAAAAGAAATTAAAAACAAAAAAAAAATGAATAAAAAAGAAAGAAGAAAGAAAGAAAGAGAAAAATAAAAAAATAATGGAAAACGTAGAAAGGAAAAGAAAGTTAGAAAGGGAGAATAAGAAGATGAATTTGGAGAATAGGAGTGAGAAAAGAAAAAAGATGAGAGAAAAAATTCAAGCTAACACAAAGGAAGTGGAATATGCCATTTTTTTTCACACACTTCACTTATTGGTTCTTGGTTGATAGCCGAGAAAAACAGACTGGGAATCGCAACTTGCTGTGCAGATGCGAACACAAAACTGCAAAGCTTCTTTGTTTAACGGCACATGCGCACACCGACAAGCTCTCCGGGCGCACGCGTGCTAGATTGCTCGATCGTTGGCCGCTTCGATCGTTTAGAGAGTGCACGCGTCTGTGTGTATTTTTGTTCACTGAATCTATGCCACTGCACTTAAAAAGTTGTCCTAACCTCTTCTGTGCCATGTAAACAGGCAACTACATAGGCATAATTATACTGCTGTAGAATCAAAGATCTTAAAATAATTACCAGACTTCTTTCTTTCTTTCTTTCTTTCTTTCTTTCTATCTATCTATCTATCTATCTATCTATCTATCTATCTATCTAATTCTGTTCACATCTATCTATCTATCTATCTATCTATCTATCTATCTATCTATCTATCTATCTATCTATTTCAGTCTGTTTCTATCTATCTATCTCGGTCTGTTTCTATCTATCTATCTATCTATCTATCTATCTATCTATCTATCTATCTATCTATCTCGGTCTGTTTCTATCTATCTATCTATCTATCTATCTATCTATCTATCTATCTATCTATCTATCTCAGTTTGTTATTTATCCCAGTCTGTTCACATCTGGTTTACGTTGAAACACCAGTTCTCATACGATCACCAAAGTTAAGCAACGTCGAGCCTGGTCAATACCTAGATGTGTGACAGCCTGGGAATACCAGTTACTGTACTCTTGAATGTACTGGCGGTGTAATGGATAATGAATCAGTATTGTCAATCGGAGAGCCGAGTTGCAATTCCCGTTCAGTTAGTTATTCACTGACGTGCAAATACCCTTTGGGGAAGGTACGAATCGACCTCTTCAACCCTCCGACGGGTGTATCACTGAACCATTATTATCTCCAAAAGAAGATTCTTACAATTTAAAAATATTTCTTGGCTTTAAATAAACCGCAAAGGGTTGATAACCCGTGAAAAAGGAATCAATCAATATTTACATCTATCTATCTATCTATCTATCTATCTATCTATCTATCTATCTATCTATCTAGTCGTGTATGCCCAGTATCTATCTATCTATCTATCTATCTATCTATCTATCTATCTATCTTGTGTACACAGGCAATCATTTTTCTTTAATTAAAAAAATGCCATCATCTCTCGTTCGTGAGCATGCGCAGTTGCAAACGAACGTAACAAATTTCATCCAATGAAGTCCACTTTGTCATACATTTTTCCCGTCGTATTGTTTTTGATATATAAAAACATTTATATATTCATATAACATTAAAGTTCACAAGCTAAAAGTATTTTTTAAATTAATCATTCTTAATAGATTCTGAATAAACTTATACAAAAGATGTCCGTGTTAAGGTCTTCGTCTATTTCACAAAAGTCTAGATCTTGATAGCCTAAAATCACAAGGTCGGAAACTTATGGACAATTCTTATATTTATTATTCAACGACTCTCGTTCAATGGTAATAAACAAAAATGGATAATAAAAAGTACAAAAACAGAAAAATGTATGCGGCCTTAAATCATTTTTTTATTAATATATACAGAGCAAGCCGCTTTCTTCGATAACAATAGCCAACTGATAAACATTCAGAAAAGTATATAAAAATTAGAGTAATTTAAATTCATTGTTATTAATTCATTGGTGTAATCAGCTTTACATGATAAAAAAATGAATACGAAATTTATTGACTTGAAATTATTAGTTTATTTTATTTTATATAAAGGCTTTGCGACCGACTGGTTTTCATGATAAACATTTAGTTACTGTCTTCATCTGCGCATATTTTGCAGTTCCATGTATATATATATATATATATATATATATATATATATATAAGTAACGGATATTTTGGTAATCCGTATGGATAATCCCAAGGAGGATGAAATCCCGAGAGCTCAATGTTATGTCAGAGCGAATAATTTAATTTAAAGAAAAACAGACCATTTTAAGGCTCCATTAGTTATAATTTATTTCATCAGAGAATTTTATTTTTCTCTGGATCTTCAGACTTCACTTTCAAAGGTCAAAAGGAAAAAAAATGAATTTAAAATTTACATTTATGACGGGCAGTTATAAGCTTATATAAGGTGACATAGAGGGTGGTGAGGAATAGTGTGAGAGACATGGTCGAGTTTAGAAAGGGAAAGTTTTAAAATATATTTTTATTTTTATTACAATATTTAACAGTGAGGCGGAGGAAGGGTAAGGATCAGACATTGACCTATTTAATCAGTCAACTCAACGGAAATGATTTGGGGAAAAGGAAAAAAGAAAAAAAGGGGAAAAGGAAAAAAGGGGGAAGTAAAGAGATAAAAGATGTAAGTAGAGTTTTTGGAGGAAGGAGAGGAGTGGTATAGCTTTAGCAATTTAGATAAAAACAGATTTTAACGTTTGATAGTAATTTAAATGTTTTAACGCTCCACAAAGAAATTAAGATTTAATGCTTGTTAACAATTTAAGTATTTAACTTCTCCACAAATAAATTAGGGATTTCATATAAACTGAATATTATATTAATAAACAAATATAAAAAAATAAAAATTTACTAATAGTAATATTTTAATATTGTGAATGACTGTTAAGGTAAAATCTTTATCAGTTAGAATCTAATTCATGAATTCATATATATAAATAGCCGAGAACAATAACAGCACTCGTGGCCTGAGGATTGCGTCTAGCAGGAAACAGACTGTCGCCTCTAAGTGTTGACTTCAATGTTTACTTTTATATTTACACACGCTCTATTTCTGATATTGAGCACTTTATCCCATAAATATAGCACACCTTAAGACTATATTTCTTCTTTTATATATATATATATATATATATATATATATATATATATAATCTATAATATGTTTAACGTTGTTATTTCATAGATACAAGTATTTAAGCAAATGCTCTGTTTATGATAAACAGTATTAAATAACATTTACCGGCCTGAATGTCCGAGAAATTTTCATAGAAAATATTCGTTCATTGACAGGATTCGAACCTGCATCCTATACGGAACCGTCATTTTACCTCTGACGTGCCTTACCTCTGGGCCAATGAACCTTATGGTAGACAAGGTCGAATTTACTGTTTATAAACTACAATCTTCCATGAATCTCGTACATTCATAACTGCTCTGGCGTATCGAATGTAAACAAATGACGTCATATGTTAAGAAATGGACAAGGTCCGACAATTTATTTATTAAAAGACATTTTTATGTTTAACGTTGTTATTTCATAGATACAAGTATTTAAGCAAATGCTCTGTTTAAGATAAACAGTATTAAATAACATTTACCGGCCTGAATGTCCGAGAAATTTTCATAGTATTTGCTTAAATACTTGTATCTATGAAATAACAACGTTAAACATAAAAAATGTCTTTAATAAATAAATTGTCGGACCTTGTCCATTTCTTAACATATAATCTATAATATCTATTCAATTTATAACATATGCATGTTAATATATCACTACAGAAGTTGCAATGTTGTTTCGACACTTCTGGTGACTTATTAAGTAATGATGTCAATATATATATATATATATATATATATATATATATATATATATATATATATATATATTTGAATAAAAACAGACCACTTTAAGGTTCCATGTTCCATATCGGCTCTGAATTTTACATTGAGCTCTCCGGATATCATCCTCCTTGGATCTACCCATGCGGATTACCTAGTTTTGCATAAACTAAATATATATATATATATATATATATATATATATATATATATATATATATATATATATATATTGTATGTACTTAGGCAGCATTAAGATTACAATTCATGTATCGATATGGTGATTTTCTATCGTCTTTCAATGATAATGTTATTAAAAGTATCAGACAATATGAAAGGAATTTGCTTAAAATAAATAGACAAAATTTGTCTATATTATTTAATGAAACTTGCATCAATCTCTCTCTCTCTCTCTCTCTCTCTATATATATATATATATATATATATATATATTGTATGCGTGTGTGTTTCCTTGAATATGTCGAAAAATGAAATTTTCTTTGTTTTCATACTGCTTTTCTTTGATGAGGACTAAGAAATTATTTGGGTTGCTTATATCTCGAGTGCTTCCGACCCTAACTTTAAACATTTTCAGGTTTTGGGAGGTGGGTACATTTTTCGCTGTTAGTATATCTGTTATGGTCCAGGTTAGGACCAAGGAAGAACAACACGAACACAAGAGTAGAAATAACTAAGGTATATTACACGAAATAATAATACAAGGCGTAGAAGGTATTAGTATGACTGTCAGTCTGGTTTGGAGTGAACTACTATCGGCTCGACTCGATTCGGTATCTAGCCCCCCCCACGAGGTTTGCATATGGTACAAGGCCGAGTTTAACGTGGGTTTCCCGAGCCCGTAGGCTCGGCCAAAAAATGCCCGTAGAAACTGTAAAAACAGAATCGGGTTGGTCAACCTCCCCGAACGAGACTCTGCCCTTCGGCTCGGCTCAATTCGATATTTACTTGCCCCCCCCTCCAACGAGGGAAAGATGTGGTGACTGTCGGGGACTGTCGTAGTAAACGTGGACGTGCGGGTGGTGTAATGTGTAATGGCCTGGTATTGTTAATTGGAGAGCCGAGTTCCAATTCCCGCTGGGTTCGGTTATATTCACTTACGAGCAAATACCCTTGGCGAAATTATCCACCTTTCTCCCCTCCAGCTGTGGGTTAATTAGTAAAACTTGCATGGCTAAATCATTACTGTCTCAAAAAAAAAAGAAAATTTCTTACAATCTGAAAATTTTTTTGGCTTTAAATAAACGGCAAAACGTTGACAAAGCCTAAAAATGAATAAGTCCCCCAATATATATTTTATATCAAATATAAAAAAGATATTTAACCTTCCCCTTGAAATAATAACCACTACGAACTGTTTGTATGTGCTCTTGATCCGGATAAAGAAAAAAAACTGTCAGGACACAAGAAAAATTGTTCTTAATATTCAGCTAAACATGTATAAAAGAACGATTCCTATATGTGTGTGTGTGTGTGTGTGTGTGTGTGTGTGTGTGAATTGGGATCTAATAAAGATCAAACATGGATCAGAATTCGACTGAATGAACATATTTAGGAAACGTTTATAAATGTAACATGTTTCAATTTTATTAAAGCTTCACCAGAGAATGAATTATGGCGAGAGAAAGAAATTCTTTATGTGCCATAACTTATACTAACGATACTTAACAAGTCAAATGCGGGCGAAACCTGCTTAGCCAATGAAAATCAAACAGCACAAAAATAAAAATACCAGAATTTCTTTCTTTCTGCTTATCTCAAGTAGGTAACTGAACTTTGCTTTATTATGCTTCTTTCCCGTTAGTCTAATTGGTAGGGCATACTTCGGCTCAAGAAATACTTCTCTTCTACTCTTTACTGTTCCTTGAGTATTTCTCATATATTTTATACTTGGTTACTTTTTTTTTTTTTTTTTTACTAAAGTTTATTGCAATAAATGTGAAGTCTGAGCTCGAGTGGAACTTACATCTCACCGATGGAATATGAAGGGAATGAAGATGGTCCGCTCCAATCGGCGTAGCAGGGGCGGGGGTTTAGCCGTAAAGTTTAAAATGGTGAAACCAAGTAACGTAGTTCGTCTGCGCACTTTTCATGGAAATAGCGATAGAGCAGTGAGAGTTCGTCTGTGAGAAAGAGGTTGTAGACTGTGTGGATGGCGTAACGGTGATTAAACGCGGAAAGTAGAAGCAGTGAGCGGAGTTCAAATGCTAGCATATTCTTTTTCGTTCACTTCGACAATAAGGAAAGGTGTTGCGTCCGTTTTACACTACCTGGTAACCCGTGCACAAATGCGCAAGCCAGCATACGGTCACGCATCCCGCCCATCAAGAACGCGAGTTTCTTTAATTCAACCAGGTATACATCCACGGATTCGTCGTACCGCAGTTGCCGCTCAGTGAACCGGTTGTACGCCATAAACGAATCCGTAGCATAGGCTGTAAGCAAGGCAGTCTTTATCTGGTCAACGACAGATTTTGCTTTGTTATTCAGTTGTTGATAAATTGCGGAAGCTCCGCCCGTATGTCTCCAAAGGGCTCCAA